GTTTGGCAGCCGTGGTGCCACAGGGCACTGCCTGCGCTGGGTGACAGCTGAACATGAGCTTTGCCCCTCTGATTGGCACCAAGCTGCCATCCCTTGTCCTTCCCCAGCGAAAACAATGTTCCTCTGCAGCAACACGTGCATCCCCTCTTCCCTTTAGCAGTGACAAAAAAATCCCATAAAAATAAACCTAGAGGTCTTTCTTCTGTGGTGCAGCATATCCTGGTTTTACCAGGAAAAGGGGAGTCTGTAACTCTCCCTGAGTTCCCAAGTGAGATGTCATTTCCAACAGCCCTTTCCAAGCCTGCAAGGGACAGTGTCTTCTTGTGGTGCCCTTAAAGGAAAAGGACAAAACTCTGCTGTTTGTGTCCATCTCCATTCCTGTCGTCTCCGCCGAGATGGCTTTTCCTCCCCGGCTGTGGAGCCTGTCGCAGGTCCCTGGCGCATTCCCAGGAACATTTCGGCTCCACTGAATTTTATTAGCTTTGTCCTTTGGCTGAAGTGATCCAACAGTAGATACAGGAGATAAAAACAGGAAAGGAGGAGTAGATCCCATCCACAATGGCCAAGTTTTAGGCAACTGAAATCCCATCAGAACTGGTTGGTGGAGGTGCCAGTTCTTTCCACTCAGTCGCGTTTAAGAAATAGTTGAAGAAAAGGCATTTCCCAATGTCACTGCCCCACCTAGGGCTGTATCCTCACAGCTGGACACCCGTGAATCCAGATGGGACTGGGGCCATCATCCCATCCTGCCCTGGAGCATCTCACAGTTTTTAGGACAAGTCGCTGAGGTCAGCCCTGGGAGAGAGGGGAGGGATGCTGAGCATCCTCCCCAGGCACCCAGGAAATCCTGTCCCTCCTGCTGCTGCCATTGTCCTCATTCTTTTGCTGTCACTGTCCTGCTCCAAGCCTGGAGCCTCATGGCACAGATCCCCATCATCCCAGTACTTTGTCTGGGCCAGGGGATGAACTGCCTGGTCCTTCTTCCTGCAATCCTTCTAGTCCCCTTCCCAGGCAGGAGATGCAGACAAAGGCAGAGGTAATAAAACACAAATAGTGTGGGGGAAAAAATTGTAATTCAGGAAAAACAGTACAGAGAGGCTGTATAAACAGAGAGGTCAAGGAGCTGTGCTTTGAACAGGCAGCTACAAAGCACACTCCAGCTGATGTTTAACAGAAAGCAAAGGCAGCGACATAAAAACAAATAACACCATCAAACAGGGACGGGAGAACACCTTTCAGGGAAGGAACCCAAGGCCTGATCTCACCCTTTCTACTAAGCATGCACATCAGCACAGCGTGGTGGAGCCCTGCCTCCCCCTCCAAACCCTGGGCACTCACTGCTTGTCTCAGCACTGGCAGGATCCTGCTCCGCCACAGATCCTGCTCCAGGCAACCACACGGATGGACACAAAGCTACAGCAGCAGATCTGGTGTGTTGCAGGACAGCTACAGAGTCCAGTGCCAAACCCTACTCTGTGATGGGAGATCCCAGATACATCAAAAGGAATCGTTCTGAGTGTGAGACAGCGCCGGCATATTTGGCGAGTGTCGGGTATTTTTAATTGTCTCAATAAACATATAAACAAAATCTGTTCAGTCGATGGGTTGTTTTTCCCTCCTGGGCTCTGTGGCACCACAGACAAGAGGAACAGCAATCGCTCAGCTGTGCCAAACTTGTAGCTGTTGCTGGTGCTCCCCACGACGGATTTGCCTATGAGCCAGGTCCAAATTTACATCCCCTGCCCCTAAGAGGCTTGGTCGTGTTCTGTGCAGTTTTACAGATCAGCATTAAGACCTCAAAAATGCAGTGGGTTCACACAAAAGAGCACAGAGAGTGAAGCTCAGCATTACTGCAGCAGGAGTTATTAAAAGCCCAGGAAGAGGGAGGGTTGAAATGTCCCTTGGATTCTGGGCATGAAAGATGCCATGGCTGGTGATGGACCAGGAAAAGACAGGTTGAGGGCAGTGAGGTCCCTGCGCCTTCCTAGAGGTGCTGGGTGATCCACACTTCAATTCTGACCTAGCCCAGATACTTCCTGCGTGATTTCAGCTCCATTTTTTTCTCCTCTTTCTCCGTTGCACCACTCCCCTGCTCCCTCTCTCATTTTGCTGCTCACACCCTTCTGTGGCTGCCGCAAGGTTACGTCTCCATTTAGTCACCCCGTAGCAAAGTGAGACGTACCTGACTCTTCTAACCTGCTCTCATAAATCACAGCGGGAGGCAGGGAGGAGGAAAAATCCTGGTAAGCAGCCAGGACGAAGCCAAGCTGACAGCTGCAGGGCAGGGGCTGGTGGCTGCCTCTCTGTAAAGTGTGTGTCCCTTCTCTCCAGAGGACAAGGCCAAAGGCTGATTCTGTCCCGGTGTTAAGCACTGCAAGCCGCTTCTCCACCACTTTTTGAGAGATGACAGCCTCTTGGGGTGATAAGAAGCCCAGACCAGAGCACAGGGATGTTATCTGTGAGGATGATGGTGTGTCTGTGATGTGCACAGTAATGAATTGCCCTCTCTCTGCAGAAATGAGTAAGTTGTGCCTGGTGATGCAATGATCAATTTGCTCCATCATGCAAAGCTGTCCATTCATCACAGGCATCAACTGCCAGTTGCTCTCACCTCTTTATTGGCACCAACAGAGCAGGAGGCTCTGCAGTTCCCTGCTGAGGAACGGCAGGAAAAAGGGGCTTCCCCTCTCCCCCAGCCTCCTGGCTGAAGGTCCCTGCAGCACTGAGCATCCAGAAATCACAAACTGCTCCTTTCCAGGAGGAAAAAAAAATGGAAAAAACAAAAACAAACAAACAAACAAAACCACAAAAAACCACAAACAAACAAAAAAACCAACCAACCAACCAAACAAAAACACACAAAAACCCCACACACCGCCCCCCCCCAAAAAAAAAAAAAAAAACAGGGGAAAAAAAAAATACCAAGTTCCCAAGGCAGTTACTGCACACATGTCACATGTCAGGAAGAGCAGACAGGTTGCCCTCTGCCTGCACCCTGCACCCCACTGGCATATCGCACGGGGACCAGCCCAGCCCACCTCCTGACCTTCAGGGATGCTCACCTGCAGCTGCACCCATTGCCCTGTGCCCCTGCAGATAAGCTTTGCTGCTGAGACACTGTGGCCACAGTAAAGCTGTTCCCCCTCTCCTGGCCCAGATTCCCTTTGCCTTTCTCATCCAGTTCACTTTTCATCCTCCTCCGCTCTCGGGGAGCCTCACACCACAGTGCTCACCACGGACTTGCAAAATCACAAATGCCCAAAATCACTGCAAAACCCCTGCAAAATACCCCTGCAAAACCCCTGCAAGGCTGGGGTAGCAGTTGTGTCACAAAGGGCACAGCAGGGCTGAGCCAGCAAATGCCACAGGCAGGGAGTAAAAGCCCTGCTCCCATCCTTGACACAAGACTGGAGTCATGCAGGCACAGAGCTGGGGAGCAGAGCACTCTGCCTCCAAGAGAATTGGAAACAAAATAACAAACAAATAAAAAAAAATAACCCTAGAAATAAAAAATCCAGTTGATTGTACTTCGGCAAAGAATTCAGAGAGCAAAGGGGCTCACTTGGGAGCAAAACGAAGATGAATCGACAGCGAGTTCAAGAGAATTCATTCTGCCGCTGAACACTTGTCTCTCCATCAGGACATCTCAAAGGCTTGTCAAGTGAAGGCAAGGCTTTTATTTGTTTCTGTGGTTGCCATAACGATAGAACTATATGTCATGTCAGGCAGCAGCTGAGGCTCGTGCCTCTGATTTATAGCTGCTCACCAGAAATCACCAACTTTTCTGCAGAGCGGGTGGCACCATGAACCAGGACCACCGGGTGTTTGCCAGTGCTGTGCTCTGCCCCCCCAGGTTAGCCCTCCTCTTGGTCCCCCAGGGCCACCTGGGGATGTTTTTGTTCTCCCTTGCAGGGATTTTTGGTGCTGGGGCTGTGGGTTCTTCCAGTAGCTGCCACAATTAGAGCAATTCCCAGTCCCCCAGGACAAGCTGTACCTTCTGAAGGGCTAAACAGAGATGGTAAGGTGTCTAAGGAAGGCCAACAGAAAGACTAAACCCCTAATAGTAGTTTATTTTAAAAAGCAGAGAGACTTCTATGTCTACCACCAGGCTAGGGGAGAAATAAAAATAAGAGAGAGGGATGGGAGCAATGGAGAAAGGGAAACAAAGAACGGTCTTGAAAACAAGAGAGGCAAGGAGGGACCGGGAGGTATTTCTTGTCCTGTCAGGGGATATGCCACAGGGACAGACTGCCCATCCTGGGAGCTGGTCTCCAGCCCAAGGCAGAGGCTGCCCAGCATAGGGGAAGCCCTGCAGCACTGCTGACCAACCTCATCTGAGCAAAGATGTCACCGTTAGCGTGGCTGCCACGATCCCAGGCGTGTGACCAGTGTGATTACCCTGTGGAACATCAGACCCTGGGTCGAGGAGGGGATGCTCAACAAGGTCACTGATAAATTACATATGCAAGTTTCATTAACTCCAAGCACTCTAATTTATGACACCCAGCCCTAAAGCCTCAAGCACCGAGTTCTGCATGCAAAGTCCTGCCCCTCTCAACCCTCGGGACACGTGGGAGCATCCCCAGTGGGATGGTTGCATGAAGCCCCTTGTCTCCCCCCGTAGGAAGTTTATCTAATGACTTGGCTGCAGCAGTGGAAGGAGGTTTGGGCCCCTCATCCCCATCCACTGAAGCACAGAGGCAGCTTGGAGCACTGCTCAGCAGTGAAACACAGGGAGAACAGCACCAGAGTCAGCATTTCCCCGGGGAGCTGCTGAAAGGCCGAGCCCCACCTGTCCCTCCGCAGTCTCCAGCATCTTCATAAAAACACAGGGCCACGTTTGAACCTTTAACCCTCTGAGTTGTAAAGACTTCATCACTTGTTTTCTCCGAGCCAGGCTTTCTGCAATTTCCTTCCATTAAACTCTTCAAGACAAGCGACCCCGGAGCCAAAGGTGTCAGACTAATGAAAGGTCTGGAGGAATGCAGCACGCTCCTTATTAAAGACACAGGGAGAGACACAGGGCTGAGCCACCATCACCGTGTTACAGGACAGCAAACAGGGCACTCTGGGTGCTGAGACAGGGTTGTGTTGCAGCTGGTGTAACGCAGCCCCCGTGGCATGGAGATGTGACTGTATTAAAGCTCAAGCCCCGCACGTTCAGGAAATTCAGGAAGAATTTCTTCACTGAAAGGGTTGTCAAGCATTGGAATGGGCTGCCCAGGGAGGTGGTGGGTCCCCATCCCTGGGGGTGTTCAAGGAATGACTGGACATGGCACTCAGTGCCATGGTTTAGTTGTCAAGGTGGTGTTTGGTCAAAGGTTGGACTTGATGATCTTGGAGGTTTTTTTCCAGCCTTGATGATTCTGTGATTCACCTGCAGGAGCTCCCAAAATGGAGGGTCAGCAGCACTACCACAGTCCCATAGCCTGGGAACAGGTCCCCTGCAGGCAGAGGGGTGGCTGTGTTTGAACACCTACACCATGGACAGCACGTGTTCACCTCTGATGGTTCGTCTGATGTGATGGGTTATCACCTCAACATCTGAACCACCAAAACTGCTGCTGCTTGAGAAGCAGCCAACACTTGTGTCATTCCAGAGGGACAAAGCAAAGTGGCTGCAAGATAAGCAGCTCTAAAATACCTTTCTCATTGTGTGAAAACACCCAAGAACCTCAGAAGAAGTTCTCAGAGACAGGCCAACGTGATGCCCATGAGCACTAAACACAACACTGACCCTGCTCACCATCTGCAGTGGATCTGAGCAGCCCTGGCATCAGCTCCTTTGCACCATCCCACTCCACTCAGGAGTTATCACCTTGCTTTCCATCCACCCTGGGGTGCTCAGGACCCCAAGCTTGCAGCTTCTCCTTTGAGAAGTGTTTAAATTCTAACGCCGAAGTATTAGATCGCTTTTCGCTTCTCAGTGTATCTGTGAAACCTTCCATAATTCAACATCAAATATTTATTATTACGTTTATTAAAGTTTTAATAATTTAGCAACTCCTGTGTGTAAGATACAAGCGCCGTGAACTCACCTCCCCTTACTCTACCTGAGTCACTCCAATATTTATACCTGGAATTCTCAGTTCAGGTTCCTTTTACGAGGGGAGAAGGCAACAAGCTCAGTGGCAGAACCTCCCCTCCTCCTGCCTGGCATTCATCCATCCTGACAGAGACTTTTCCACGAGAATCAGTGCCCAGAGACAATTACTGCACTGGAGCAGAAAACAAGCTTCCAAGCCTCTACCTTCACTAAGGTCCTTTTCATGAAGATGTGAGGAGGCAAGAAAGAAATAATGATCTCCTGGCATTTTGGCTTGGAAAATGTTAACATAAACCAAGGCAATCCTTCTCCCTCTCAGATGAAAAGCAGAAGTTGCTGCAGACAAGAAAAACAACGCTCCTAAGAGAGCCAAATTGTGATAGATATGTACTATCAGTCTCTTTTTGAAGGAGAGGGAACAGGCACTGATTAGCAACAAAAACACACTCTTGGAAGTGAGGACCTCTTGGATGCCAGTTGGGGCACAAAACACAACTGATGTGCCTGTCCCCTTCTCCAGGGACCTCCTCTGCCCACACTCAGCCCATTCTCCCAGCAATAGCCTCTCCTTCCACCAGGGCAATTCTCCTCCTGCAACTCCCTCTTAGGTCCCTCTTCAGAACAAGACTATCCCAAGTCCAAGGACATCTGGTTAAAATACAAACTGGTCAAAATAGGGGAGCCAGAAAAATATTCAGGCATTTACTGAACTCCAGGAAGTAAAAACCCATCTAATTGTATAATAATTGGATGAGCAAAAGAGCCTTTCACCCCTCATGAGCATCCCAGCGGACACCGAGGGCCAGGTGGATGTGATATATGTATGAGTTTCAGAAAGATGACAGCACCTCCATCCTGGTAAATGCATCCATTTAAGCACTGCAATCTAACATTACATTTAAGCCACTTTAAAACTGCCTTCTCCTACCCATTCAGCTGTCTGTACTGGCAGACTTTAGTGTTACACACTCAGGCCTGGCCTAGACCCATCAGACCAAAGAGCCTGGAGAGCCATCACATCACATTTCTTATTGGAAGAAAATTAATCAAACCTATCATCATAGAAATTACTGCATCCTCAATAACAATTTAAGGAGCAGTGTAGTCACTCAAGCGTGAAGAAAACGACAAATCTGCTTCCTACCTGACATCTGCTGGATCTTCCGTCACCAGAACATCTGTCTTGCAGCTGGCAAGAGGATTGATGGAAAGCTCCACAGGGGGCACCACGAAGCTCTTACTGACTGGAAGCCACAGCCCTTGACCCAAACTGTAGGTAGACCTGGAATAAAGAGCAAATGTGTCATAGAGGAAAAGAGTGTCCACAGGGAATGGTGGCCCTCCACTGCACCTGCCCACCTGGAAGTCGGAGCAGTGGTGGCACCATGAGATAAGTTAGTCATTTGGTCTTGCCCTGGAAGCCAAATGGGAGAGGAATAATGGCATTCCCCTCCCCGTGCCAAATTAGGAGTTGGGCTCCGATGATCCTTGTGGCTCCCTTCCAACTCAGGATATTCTGTGATTCTATGAGATGCAACAGAAGGGGATGGCCAAGCTCTTCAGCCCACAGGGACTCCCTCTCTGTGCACACTGGCCTGGCGTTTGCTGAGGGGACAAGAGGGGAACCCTCCTCTGTCTGGATAAACCTTTCAGGTCTGTGACAGGCAAATGACACTCGTGTGCCCCTGCCAGCACAACAAGGCAGAGTTGGGAGTGACCAAGAGGTTGCATCTGCTGGCACATCTTCATGGCTCTCCCCACCCAAATGTCCCAGATGAACCCTCCTCTGACTCACCTGAGTATTTTCTCTGGTGCCTGCTCTCCTGTGACCAAGTCATATCCCCGCTCCAGCGTCGTGTAGGGCCACGGCCTGGGAGGAGGGATGGAGAGAGCAGCTGAGCACATCACTCAGCAGGGAAAGCAGCACAACCTGGTCCCAGGCCTTTGGGGCCAGTGATCAGCTGAGCAGAGCAGAACCTGGCTCCTCACCAGTGTGGGAGAGCCAGGACAGAGCAAACCCACCACCCTGTCCCCACTCACCCCTCGCTGTGTCCCCAGTCACTGCGCACACACAAGTGCCGGTGGACGGGGTCTGGGGCGTACCCTTCATGGCAGCTGCACTCTCCTGAAAGAGAAGAGGGAAGGATGAGACCTTTCTGGGCCAGAGGCACATCAACAACTGCAGAGCTGGACCCTCCTCCCCTCCTGCCCATCTCTGCATGTTCACAGCCACTCCTGGTCCCTGCTATGGATCTGGAGCACCTTGGACCCCAGAAGCCTCCAGGAGGTGTGAAAGAGATGAGGAGATGTGGAAAGCTGCAAGAAACCTGTAGTTATTCTGGGGTGGATTACATGATGCAGCACCCATAGTAGCCAGGGATGAGGTTTCATGATGCAAAGGTCTGTCCTTACCTAGTGTTCCTCTGTAGCCCTGCAGCTCTCCAGGCTGAGCAGATCTCTGCTCAATGGTCCCCTAGAAATATTCCCCATAAGGATGTACCCACATGGATCCAGCCCCTGCCCTGAGACCTGCCCACAGCCCTGGCAGAGGGGCTGCTCAGGAGCCAGGGGTTCACTCCTCAGCAGGGATTTTAACCTTGCTTGAGCAGAACCAAACCCATCCTGGTCACATCCCCTTCCCACCTCTGCTCCTGGCACCTCACAGAGGATGGAGCAGCAGAGTCTCCTGCAGCCCAAACTCCCACAGAAGGATGCAGAACCCCCCAAACTCTGTCCTCCACAGGCAGTTCCCATGCCATACCCCCATCGCACAACAAAAGGGCTCTCAGACCTGCTCCCCTCCACTCTCTGGGTGTTGCCTCACTCTGTTGCACCCTTTTGACAGCAAGAGAAGACATTTCCCCACACCAGAAACCCGAGCGCGCTTGGCCCAAATTGATTCAGCGTTTGGTAGAAATACATAACCCGGAGCAAGAAACAGCAAAATCAAAAGATTAATTGGATTTGCACGTGGAGTTTCTGCTACAAGCTGCTGCCAATGTTTTTCTTCCCTCCCCTCCTCTCCCCTTCGTGCCTGGTGGTGCAGCAGGATGAGCTGTAAACACTAGAGAGAGGTTGGACCTGGGAAGGGTGCTGGGAGGGGGGTGCTCCCAGCACGCTGGCAATGCAGACTGGCAGGTACCATGGTGCTCATGGGGATCCTAAGCAAGTTCTTAAAATGTCTCACAGGGATTACAGTAAAGAGCTTTATTGTCAGGAGGGAGCGAGGAGGGGATTCAAACGCTGATATTTTTGAGGAAGAGATGCCTGAAAAAGGAGAGGAGGCAAAAAAAGAAAAAGGGGGGTGGGGGGGAAGAGACGGCTAATGATGTGCTAAAATGCAACAGCACCTTCATGAAATATTCACTGCCTCAAAGGCGTCTAATATTAAAGATTAAATGTCCTGGGATTTGTCCTAGCGACTTCGAAGCACTGATTTATGATCTGTCAAAAGCTGCTAACCTCATGATTCATAACGGGAGCGGCAGGAACATTGCTCCTCCAAAGGGAAGCAGTTGGGAGAGAGATGGCAGCGCTCGGCCCTGCTCAGGCTCAGCCGTGCCTGGGGGGCTGGGGCAGTCTCAGTGCAAGAAAATGCAGGTCCTAATGGCTCCATCAGTGATTTTAAAAAAAGAAAAGTTATTTTTTCCTTGGGTGCTTAGTGCGCAAGTTTCCCCAGCCGTGCCGTGGATCATTAATTCCTGGTGCTTATTACATAACAAATATATGCTCTGCAAATGAGAGACATCTCAAAGTGCTTGCGAAGCAGAGCTGGGAGTCTTGGGGCACCGGCTCACGCTCAGCCCCTGCCACAGAAATTAGAGCAAGGAGGGGAAAACCACCTACAGAGGTTGGCATCCGGCAGCCCCAATGCCTCCCTTGAATCAATGGCTGGGGGTGCTGGTGCTGAACCCCTTCCCTGTGGTGCAGGAGGGTTTGTTTTCTCTGCTGGCTTGTTTACTGCTCTGTCAGTTTGGCGTCAGAAGGAGAAACTCTATCAACCTGCAGGAATATTGATTTTATCGACTCCAATCCCGGAGTTTCAGCAGCTACAGCCGGTGCTCAAGGCTTTATCGGGAGGTTTATTGGGAGGTTTATTTCAGTAAGTGAGAGGGCAAGTGGTGGCACTGGCTGGGCAGGAGACACAAGGCCAGAGAGAGGGAGGACTCCAGGGAAAGCCACCCACAGCACAGAGACTAGAGATACCTGCCCATCTCTGTAGCCACTTGGGACCAGCTTTCCACACATGTTCCAGGGAGATCTACACCCCTTTCTCAGAGTTTTAGAAACTGGATAGGAAGGCTCCCAGCACAGGGGACTCCACCTCCTCGGGATAGATGATTCCATTTCTGTATCTATTCCTGTATCTACAACAACAGACAACCAGTGGGGCTTCCAAAAAACCTCAGCAGAACCTGCTGTGCTCTTACAGATTCTCAGGAGCTTTTGCTTTCTCCCCATCAGAATCCACCCTCCATCTTTGCCCCCCTGAACTACTCTGTTATTTTCAGTCAGTCCCCATCCTCCCTGGGCATGATGCTGAGCCTGGCTAATCCCCATGGAATGAGAAACACCTGATAAAGTGCCCTGAGTGGCAGGAACGGGGGTTCCTGTACCTCTAAACCCTCTCGGGGTGTGTTTTTAAACAAACCACCAAACCAGCAGTGCCTCTGTTCAGAGACACAAAATCCCACGTGCTTCTGAGACAGACACAGTTATCTGCTCAGCATTCCTGCAGCTAAGTGAGGATTCAAGATGAGCTTAAAGCCAAAGTCAACCAAGGTAACCAAGTTTGACAAATAGCCACACCTGAAGCTGGATGCAATTTCCACAGGTCCTGCACACGCCTCTCTGTGCGGTGCAAATGAATCAGGATCTACCAACGGCTGTGACAAGAATTCTGCTTCTGCAGCCACCACCCCACACCCTGTCCATAGCAAAAACACAGTAACTGTGTAATCCTTCCTCTGCCTTTGGATTCATAAGCCACAAATCAGGTAGGATAATCCATGGCAAATTTTCGGCTCTTATAGGTCCAACATCCTATTTCCATTTAAACAAAATGCTGGGAGGAGGGGAAGGAAAATCTCTGAACTAAAGCAGGAAATGCAACACCACAGCCCTAGCATGAGGCTCTGAAAGCACATCATTCAAGGAATTCTGGAATGGTTCAGGTTGTAAGGGACTACCGGTGGGGTCATCTGGTCCAACATCCCTGCTCAAACTCATGGCACAGGATTGTGTCCAGATGGTTCTGGAATATCTCCAGTGAGGGAGACTCTACACCCTCTCTGGCTAGCCTGTTCAGTGCTTGGTCATCTGAACAATAAAGAAGTTCCTCATAATTAGATGGAACTTCCTGTGCATCACTTTGTGCCCGTTGCCTCTCACTGTATTGCAGCGCCTGGTTCCATCCTCTGACACTCTCTTCAGATACTTATTATGTAACTCTAATATACAGATACATTCCTGTGGCACAAACAGCTATGTGGAAGCGCAAGGGAGGAGCTGAGGCCACGGGAAGCACTCACAGCTCTGTTCTCCATCCTCCCCTACTCCCCTCTGCCAACTTACACAACATCTCATCACAGACTGTGCTGCCATGGCTAATTACAGGTGACACGGAGCCTCTGTGCCAGTTCCTGCTCAGGGAGAGCAAACCCGTTGCTTGAAGCAGCAGGACACATCCCCAAACACCACAGGCACATCTCACCTGCAACCTTCCTCCTCTGTGCCTTCATCCCCACGGAGGCTGGTGGGAGAGACGACCGATAGCTCAACCCAGTGTGCCATCCAGAGCCCCATGCAGAAAGGCTGGGGGGCCAGGAGCAGTGAGCACACGGCTCCTGGAGAAATGTCTGTCATTCCTGTCCTCAGCTGGGAAGGGGAGAAGGATCTGGAAACTCATCTGGAGGAACAGGGCCAATTAGGGACACAATTGAGCCAGTTTCCTCATGCAGGCATGAGCTGCCTCTGCCCATCTGAGCAAGGGGTTTCTCATGTGCCTGTGCTCCATGCTGGCTTCAGTGCTGGAGCTGCAGAAGGGCAGGAACAGACTGCAGCCCAGCCTTAGCATCCATGGATTTTGGCTCAAGGTTGACCCACGCTGAGTCTTCCTCCTGCCTGAAGGAAACAAATCTAACACAAGCCACACGCGAGCTCACCACCTCCAGCAGCACAGGCACGGTGCAAAGCCAGCTATGTGAAGGACAACAGCCCCCAGCTCCTGCTGCATCTTGACCAGCACAGCTCAAGGCTTTAGCTCTGGGGTTTTTTTATATCTAAGCTGGAAGTTCCTGAACTATTCCTCCATTTTTGCTCACCACACTGTGCTGCTGCTTCTGCTGAGAGGGGGAACAGGACACACTGCTGCATCCAGATCCTCCCTGCCTGTCCCCATGCTCTGCCCAGGAACAGCAGAGCAGGGCTGAGGGACAAACTACCAGCGTGCCAAGTAATCCTGTTAGACTCATTAGGGCAAGAGCTGATCCGTGGTGATAATGCTGCAAGATCCCCCTAATCCACCCGCCCAGTGCACAGCGTGAAGTGGAGGCTCCCGGAGTCCCTGTGCTCCTGGGGAAGCCGCTCTTTGCTGTCACTGGCGATTCTGTTTAAGGAGCTGGAGGAGCCTTGGCTGTGGTGCAGCAAAGCTGTGGCTCCTCAGCCTTCTCCTGGCACTGCTGGTTTCTGTGACTTCCTGCTCCAGGGCAGCACCTCCATCCCTGGTGCTCACCCTTGTCCTGGTGGGATGCCCTGCTGTGCCAGAGTCATGTTCCACTGCAAAGGCACCATCCTGGGGCAAGTCCAGGCCCCAGCTGGAGGGGTAGCCTGTTCCTGAAGCCTGGGGGGCTATAAATACACACTTTTCCACCTGCATGAGCACTGCATGTACACACACTTGCGTCAGGGCTGCCTCTCCACCTGAGGCAATACACAGTCCAGCCCCACTTTCCTGGTCTCCTCCTCTCTGGACACACACACCCTCCAGGGGACACACCACCAAAGGTGGCTGCACAAGTGGATGCAAAATGCAAAATGCAGCTGCCACCCAGGCACTGCTGTCCCGGCCATCAGCTTGCTGCTTGGCAAGGTCAGTGCCCCCCTATCACCATTGCCCACGGCAGG